TGTCGATCTCGTCTCCACTCAACAATCTGTTCCACTTGGCGTGGTAAACAATGATATACATTTTCGTCATCTGGTCCTATTACTTCGTCTACTACTTCGGTTTTTCATCCGTTCCATTGGAATCTACCTACGGCCACGGCTTCCAAACAACCCGGTACAGTTGTTTAAGGTACTCTGTATCACATACAAGAGTCTAAATGGCATGGCACCAAAATATCTATCATATAAGTGAATGGCTAACCCGTTTCAACCACCCAGACAACTACGATTTGGAAGCAATTCTTATTTAGTATTCCTTCTTACAGACTGCCTTGGCCTCTTATTGCGAGTGTTCTTTCAGTGGTTGCGCGCCATTGCTGTGGAATAGACTGTTCCTCGCTATAAACTGTTTCCATGTTTTATTGCGTTCAGATCACATCTTTCAACGCATCTCTTTCATTGTACTATTAACTCAACCTCACTTGTAGCGCTTGAGCATCCACTTGTGGTTGGATTTCGCGATATATAACCTTCAGTAATATTATTATTATTACTATTACTGAATTAGAAACACCACGGCTATATTCGAGGCCACGGTTCAAATCAATCTGCTGTCCCACGAGGTTACAGCTGTTCAGGTAGCACGAGTCGGACCAGGTGACGACCGGGTGAATGAATCAGATAAGGGGATGACACGTGCATTTTCTTGCCAGAATGCACTGTCAGCTGAGAGCTCAATGGGAGGCACGGGCGATATACCGTTAGGTTGGAAACAAGACTGATATCCAGTCACTGAATACAGGCAAGTGAGTTTATTCAAATTGCCTCAATATAACCAAGCAGGGTACATGGGTACCTGGTGGGATAATTCATGTGGCTATTCAATTTTCTCGCACCTCTTGGCAGCATGGGTTTTCAGGGTTAATAAAAGGTAACATGTCAACACCTTGAGCATGTGCCTTGTACCTGGAAAAGGCGTGTTATAGGGCACATTTATTGTTCTAACAAGTGCCTATTATCCCTCTGCTTCTGACGGATCTTGGAAGGTGTATTCCGTCGTTAGTTTACTTTTTCATCACCCTCATCTCCCTAAACACGCTAATGGCATCTTCCGTTTGGTCTACCAACTTCTGCCATGCTTTGCGACCATGTGTTACGCTGGGCCTCATCTCGCTTATCGCAATATCATAAAAGGTGGCGCAAGTTCTTGGTATAAAGGGAGCGGAAACCAGCTTGGGAACCAGCTTAGACATTGTGTAAGCTAAAATATAACGAATTTTTTGCATTGGCTGATAAATAGTATTTACTGCGGAATGAATGACGCTGATTGGCAGAGAGCTAATACATTGTAAATGGACGCCGTAAGCATCGTGTTGTTAGGTTTTAGAGTGTTACGGGGGGACATGAGTTTAATCATGGGTTTAATCAACGGCTCGTTGAATTGTAATATCTTTTTCTATGAAGGTACGTTCTTTGAAAAATATGACGCGCCATTGGAGATGCGCTGTAAGCGTTTTATGCACCATGTGGGAAATTATTCCGTGCTTTCATGTCTGTGTTCACTGTACAAGTGGCTGGACAATTCAGTCATGATATTGCAAATACGAAGGCTTAGCATCCTTGGCTAGGGGTATGGATAGACAAGCCAATGTCAACCTGGATAGGATGGGGTTGTTTTTTCCTCGCCAGTGCTTCAAATTGATAGGGATTTCTCACACCTATCCTCGAAATTATCCAAAAATTTCGTTCTTATTTACGTCACGTTACTCCTAGTCCTAGGGAGTTTTAGGTTTTCGACTGTGCATACTAGATCGATATCTTTTCATACGGCAGTTGCCTTGTCTTGGGAATCGGGTAGCTTCCTCACCCAGGTTTTGAGGATTATATGGCAATTCATCAAGATTCCATGGTGGTCATGTCAGCCCACGAAGGATGCTTGCCCACTCCTTTTTGGATGTCGTTTTTTTCAGGCAGTTTTCGATGCCAATCACACTCGAGTGATTGTGTTAGACCATTCGGCAGCTATAGTACCATCTCACCTCTTGACTGGAGATACGAATCTTCCAGAACAATCCAATGAGGAAATTGTTTCAACAATTTCTGGATATTTTTCATTGTTATGATATCGCTCCTACAATGTTTTATGTTGATGGGAATTCAGATTCAGGTCTATCTCAACGATTCTTAGTGGATTTCTACTTTTTCTCAGTGACGTTAAGACACTGAAACACAGTACTATGGTGGACTACAGATCAGCAATCGCTTCTGTTTGAGATATACAAGGACTAGCAGTGGTTCTAACAGCTTGCTCTACAAGCCGATTAGTTCATTCCAGTTAAGAATTTATTTATTTATTATTATTATTATTTTCAGCTCCTAGTCCTACAATCTTCCCCAAGTTGGCTTTATGTTTAATTCTGTAGTCTCTCCAGAAGTCTTCCAAACCTATGTAGGAAATTTATTTTTATTTCTTCTCCATAAAAGGTGGGTTTTCTACTTGTCATTGCTACATTGCTACAGCTTCCAGCTCCAGAATTTTTGGCCATAGACTTTAGTCAATCACCTTTACAGGAGGCTCTAGATGGCTGTCATGTAGAACTTAACCAGTTTGTTCTTGCCAAGAATCAGGCTTCTGCTGGCGGTCTCTCAGCCACAGAGTATACCAGATTCAAGTATTCCCTACCTCTGCCTCTAGATCAGACAGAACTAGACTCCTATGCCCTATTCGAGCTCTGAGAAGGTATATCCAGCATGCTCTCAATATCAGACATAGTTGCTGCTGTTTGTTTGTTTTGTGCTTTGTTTTGTTTTATTATCTCATGCAAGACAATTGTTGATTTGGAGTTCTTGATTGAATATTATATCGTCTTGGCTTAGGAAGACAATAATTTCTTGTTTACCAGGATTTTGACCCCAACTTAGTGAAGAATAGTTTTCCCTGCATGAGACCAGGGCCTGGACGTCGTCACTTGCAGCTTGGGGGTCCATTTCAGTAGATCAGATTGTTGCTGCATGCCGGTGGAAGATCTCTAATCCCCACACCAATTTGCTTTTGCGAAACTCATTCCATCCTTAGAGAGCCTACGGACAGCGCCTCTCCTCCTCTTGTTTTTTCCCTTGAAGGGGAAAAAGAGTGGGGGGGGGGGTGCATATTTATATATATCCAAACTCAGCAGTGGTTCACTGTCTTTGGACTGTGAGGGAGGAAACAGGTTAACAGTAAACGGAAGGATGAGGATCTTTGAAGAACCGTATCTAATAATGTTTATCACCAGTAATTGGAATTATTATATCCGCTGCAATTTATTACTCCAGTTAAATAATCCACAAGAAGACTTGAAATCACAAACCGGAAGTGACGTCACGAACCGGAAGTGACGTCAATGAACCGGAAGTGACGTCAATGAACCGGAAGTGACGTAATCAAACAGGAAGTGACGTCACAGAAACCGGTTAAAATGAGAATCAGTCAATAGACTATTACAGAACCGGATATGACGTCTGGGACCAGAAGTGACGTCACAGTCTTCTCCAAACACCAGATACTTCTCCCTCACAAGGATGATCTTTCCCTTTAGGTAATTAAATACTGAAATATCCAGGGAATGATCTAGGTAATCCATATGTATATTACATTTCATCACTTAAGTCATAGTTACCCTAATTGTTATGTCATAGACTTAGTGGTATTGCTGTATTCATCATCTGTATAAACCCTCCTTCCTTATGTGAGATTCTGGCAACCATAATCCAGAGGGAATGTTTACGCCTATAATTAGGAACAATTACATGTATTGTTAGTAATTGTTAGTAAACTTACCGTTGGATTATTGGATCTAGTGCCCACCCGACCTCCCCACGAGGAGATGCAGAAGATGTCAGTTTTCTTCAGAAAAATCATGAGAGGTTTTCAACAACTACGTTGTGACGTCACAGCTAGCCTAAGGGAGATAACCGCGTAACTCTTTAAGCATACGACTAGGGATACCTATGACTTAGTTAAAAATTTCATTTCCATTCTGTATGTATCTGTGGAATCCACAGGAATAAGGCAACCATAATCCAGAGGTAAGTTTACTAACAATTACTAACAATACATGTAATTGTTCCTTATTGGCAAATGAACAGGATAATATTTTGCACATGGTAGTACACAATAACTTTCAAGATAAACAGTCGCTTCTTAGATGTTACTGTATATTCCATAATAGGCATCCTGGTATATAATTATCAAAAGTGGGCTTGTTAGGACCACACGTGATACCAGGAGTCACGTGGGAACAAGTAAACTTAGTAAACATTGATAAAGCTAGAACTGTTCCAATAATAGGTCATTAGACATGGTGAGTGATAGCTAGCAGTATTTCCATTAGGTAAGCACTTTTTAAAAGCCTTAATCAATATGGTTTCTCAGTGATTTCCTTTTAAGATAACCTGGAAATAACAATCGTATTGACATATCAGGGTAACATGTACTGCCAGTCATTTAATGCACAGTGCCCTAAGTGATCACCCAACATGATCCTTTCAATAATTGTTTAGTGTGAAGTTCTAAGGAAACTAATCTGCAACCATTATTGTCATACAAATTAAACTCTCTGACTTCCTCATGTTGTTCCTATTTTTGTTGAAATCTGTATCAACAACAGAAATACGTCCATGGTTTGTTAATTGCCATTTGCTATCACAAGGTATTTTTGTGTGTAGAGACCAAATAGCATGAAGCATCCTAAAACAAACTTTTCATGTGCTATTTTCAAATTACAACAATGGTCACAGCTGATGTCAGAGTTTAGCAATTTAGGAATTTCATTCTCAGACAATGAACTTTTTTGTCATGTCATCAATGTCATTAGTCTTGTCAGTGTTGTAAGTAACTGTGTCACCTGCTGAATGGCTCCCAGGCTGTTTCACTGCAAATTTATTTACCTGAATATGGCAAATACGGTAATACAATTCATCAAACTTTTAGTGTCATAGTGTTATTCCTGGGTACAGATTTGACCATTTGACTATCGCAGGCCCAGGTGGAGTTGATGGAGTCTGATAGCATCAAGTCACTTTCGAAGATGGAGAGGAAACTGAAATCAGCTGAGACCCAGCTGATGCAGAAGGAGGTAGACATTGTGAATGAGGAAGCAGTCTTACAGACCAAGTTTGAAAAACAGCTCAAGCAGGTCAAGGCATCGGCTGATGTATGTCTTATTACTTGTTACACTTTTACCACGGCCAAGTAGTGACTTGTTACACACTTACACCGGCCAAGTAGTGACTTGTTACACATTTACACCGGCCAAGTAGTGACTTGTTACACATTTACACTGGCCAAGTAGTGACTTGTTACACATTTACCCACCAAGTAGTGACTTGTTACACATTTACACCGGCCAAGTAGTGACTTGTTACACATTTACACCGGCCAAGTAGTGACTTGTTACACATTTACACCGGCCAAGTAGTGACTTGTTACACATTTACACTGGCCAAGTAGTGACTTGTTACACATTTACACCAACCAAGTAGTGACTTGTTACACATTTACACCGGCCAAGTAGTGACTTGTTACACATTTACACCAACCAAGTAGTGACTTGTTACACATTTACACCAGCCAAGTAGTGACTTGTTACACATTTACACCAACCAAGTAGTGACTTGTTACACATTTACACCGCCAAGTAGTGACTTGTTACACATTTACACTGGCCAAGTAGTGACTTGTTACACATTTACACCGGCCAAGTAGTGACTTGTTACACATTTACACCAACCAAGTAGTGACTTGTTACACATTTACACCAACCAAGTAGTGACTTGTTACACATTTACACCCAACCAAGTAGTGACTTATTACACATTTACCCCAACCAAGTAGTGACTTATTACACATTTACACCGGCCAAGTAGTGACTTGTTACACATTTACACCAACCAAGTAGTGACTTGTTACACATTTACACCAACCAAGTAGTGACTTATTACACATTTACAGTTTACAACAACAAGTAGTGACTTGTTACACATTTACACCAACCAAGTAGTGACTTGTTACACATTTACACCGGCCAAGTAATGACTTGTTACACATTTACACCATCCAAGTAGTGACTTATTACACATTTACACCGGCCAAGTAGTGACTTGTTACACATTTACACTGGCCAAGTAGTGACTTGTTACACATTTACACCGGCCAAGTAGTGACTTGTTACACATTTACACTGGCCAAGTAGTGACTTGTTACACATTTACACCTGGCCAAGTAGTGACTTGTTACACATTTACACCGGCCAAGTAGTGACTTGTTACACATTTACACCGGCCAAGTAGTGACTTGTTACACATTTACACCGGCCAAGTAGTGACTTGTTACACATTTACACCGGCCAAGTAGTGACTTGTTACACATTTACACCAACCAAGTAGTGACTTGTTACACATTTACACCGCCAAGTAGTGACTTGTTACACATTTACACCCGACCAAGTAGTGACTTGTTACACATTTACACCGGCCAAGTAGTGACTTGTTACACATTTACACTGGCCAAGTAGTGACTTGTTACACATTTACACCAACCAAGTAGTGACTTGTTACACATTTACCCCAAGCCAAGTATTGACTTGTTACACATTTACACTGGCCAAGTAGTGACTTGTTACACATTTACACCGGCCAAGTAGTGACTTATTACACATTTACCCCAACCAAGTAGTGACTTATTACACATTTACACCAACCAAGTAGTGACTTATTACACATTTACACCAACCAAGTAGTGACTTGTTACACATTTACACCGGCCAAGTAATGACTTATTACACATTTACACCTTCCAAGTATTGACTTATTACACATTTACACCGGCCAAGTAGTGACTTGTTACACATTTACACTGGCCAAGTAGTGACTTGTTACACATTTACACCAACCAAGTAGTGACTTGTTACACATTTACCCCAACCAAGTAGTGACTTGTTACACATTTACACCAACCAAGTAGTGACTTGTTACACATTTACACCGACCAAGTAGTGACTTGTTACACATTTACACCGCCCAAGTAGTGACTTATTACACATTTACACCGCCAAGTAGTGACTTGTTACACATTTACACTGGCCAAGTAGTGACTTGTTACACATTTACCCCAACCAAGTAGTGACTTGTTACACATTTACACCGGCCAAGTAGTGACTTATTACACATTTACACCGGCCAAGTAGTGACTTATTACACATTTACACCAACCAAGTAGTGACTTATTACACATTTACCCCAACCAAGTAGTGACTTGTTACACATTTACACCAACCAAGTAGTGACTTGTTACACATTTACACCAGCCAAGTAGTGACTTGTTACACATTTACACCGGCCAAGTAGTGACTTGTTACACATTTACACCAACCAAGTAGTGACTTATTACACAGTACACTTATTACTTGTTACATTTACACCGGCCAAGTAGTGACTTGTTACACATTTACACCAACCAAGTAGTGACTTATTACACATTTACACCAAGCCAAGTAGTGACTTATTACACATTTACACCGCCAAGTAGTGACTTGTTACACATTTACACTGAAGTGACTTGTTACACATTTACACCGGCCAAGTAGTGACTTGTTACACATTTACCCCAACCAAGTAGTGACTTGTTACACATTTACACCAACCAAGTAGTGACTTGTTACACATTTACACCAACCAAGTAGTGACTTGTTACACATTTACACTGGCCAAGTAGTGACTTGTTACACATTTACACTGGCCAAGTAGTGACTTGTTACACATTTACACCGGCCAAGTAGTGACTTGTTACACATTTACACTGGCCAAGTAGTGACTTGTTACATTTACACCCGGCCAAGTAGTGACTTGTTACACATTTACACCAACCAAGTAGTGACTTATTACACATTTACACTGGCCAAGTAGTGACTTATTACACATTTACACCAACCAAGTAGTGACTTGTTACACATTTACACCGCCAAGTAAGTGACTTATTACACATTTACCAACCAAGTAGTGACTTATTACACATTTACACAAGTAGTGGCCAAGTAGTGACTTATTACACATTTACACCAACCAAGTAGTGACTTATTACACATTTACCCCAACCAAGTAGTGACTTATTACACATTTACACTGGCCAAGTAGTGACTTATTACACATTTACACTGGCCAAGTAGTGACTTAGTAGCCAAGTAGTGACTTATTACATTTACACCAACCAAGTAGTGACTTATTACACATTTACACTGGCCAAGTAGTGACTTATTACACATTTACCCCAACCAAGTAGTGACTTATTACACGAAAATACACACGACATGGTGGCCACCACGGAAGACCGGACCGACCACACAAAGAGCCCATGGAATCACCGACCACCCCCAGCCATGAACGCCAAAATAAAGGAACTGGATTCCACAACCAAAACATGGAGTGAAAGAAAGGACCGGAATACGAAAAGGACCGAAAATCCAACAAAGACCGGACCGAACGAACGGAACGGGACCGTGGAAGGATAACGGGCCACAGGACCGAACGCCGGCACAGGGTCTGTGGAGGAACTGGGGAGGGTCTGTGGAAGGAACGCAGGAAAATCCCGGAACCGTGAGTGGGGCCCAGGAGGCGGAATGGCCCCAGGAAGGAAAGGAGGCACAGGAAAAATCACAAGGGTCCGTGGACCCGGACTGGGGTGGCCCCGTGGCATGTGGAGGGGCATGGGTCCGGGAAAAATCCCGGAGTGGATGGACAGGCCCAGGCATGGAGGTCCCAGGTCCGGATCAAGGAGTCCACAGGGTCCAGTGAGCCCGGGCACAGGGTCCAGTGGACAGGACCCGTGGAGGAAGGAGTGGCCCGGAAGGAATGGCCCCAGGAGGAAGGAAAGGAGTGGCCCCAGGAGGCCCCAGGACAGGGTCCAGGAGTGGCCCGGAGTCCAGGAATCCAGGAGGAAGGAATCCCAGTGGAATCCCCACAGGAGCATGGAGGCATGGTCTGTGGCATGGAGGAAGGATCCAGGAGTGGCCCCAGGAGTGGCCCGTGGCCAGGGTCCCAGAGTGGCACAGGGTCTGTGGAGGGAGCCCCAGGACCCCACAGCCCGGAGGAGTGGCCCAGGCCCAGTGGGCATGGCCCCAGGAGGACGCGGAGGGTCCAGGAGGCCCTGTGAGCCCAGACTGGGGTGGAGGAAAGGAGTGGCCCAGGATCCAGGAGGAGGGTCTTGTGAGTGGGGTCTGGGGAAGGAGGGAGGGGTCTGTGGAAGGAGTCTGGGGAGTGGGGTCTGGGGGGGAGAAGGAAAGCCCCGGGAGTGGCGGAGATCTGTGGGATGTGGCTGTGGGGAGGGGACTGTGGGATCTGTGGATGTGGCTGGGGAGATCTGTGGGATGTGGCTGTGGGGGACTGTGGGATGTGGCTGAAGAGTGGGAAGTGGGTTTGGGGAGATCTGTGGGATGTGGCTGTAGGGGACTGTAGGAAGTGGGTTTGGGGAGATCTGTGGGATGTGGCTGTAGGGACTGTAGGGAAGTGAAGGTTTTAGGGGAGACTGGGATGTGGCTGTAGGGGACTGTGGGGAAGAGGGTTTGGGGAGATCTATGGGATGTGGCTGTGGGGGGACTGTGGGAAGAGGGTTTGGGGAGATCTGTGGGATGTGGCTGTAGGGGACTGTGGGAAGTGGGTTTGGGGAGATCTGTGGGATGTGGCTGTAGGGAGACTGTGGGAAGTGGGTTTGGGGAGATCTGTGGGATGTGGGGGACTGTGGGAAGTGGGTTTGGTGAGATCTGTGGGATGTGGCTGTAGGGGGACTGTAGGATATGGGTTTGGGGAAATCTGTGGGATGTGGCTGTAGGGAGTTTTTAATAAGGATGGGCAGGGGAGAGTTTTAATATTTATCAGCAGTGAAGAGTTTCTTTAAATGTGTATGATGTTTGAAACATTTCGCAATCCCTAGATGTTTTGACCAGTGTGTGTGATATTTTGTATTTTGATGAGTTTCCCCAAACTCTGCTCTGTGTGAGAGTATGCACATTGTACTAAGTTGTGATTTTCTGTTTCCAACTCAAAAGCATTAGAAGTCCTCAATTGCCATTGGATAGCCTGATGATTAAGTTCCAGGTTTGATTCTCTTGTTGGTACAATGTCTGACTGACTGACTGAGTTTGGTTTTACGCCGCTTTTAGCAATATTCCAGCAACATCACGGCGGGGGACACCAGAAATGGGCTTCACACATTGTACCCATGTGGAGATGCGAACCCGGGTCTTCGGCGTGACGAGCCAACACTTAAACCATTAGGCTACCCCACCGCCCCTGTTGGTACAATGTGTGAAGCACAGGCCACTTTGACTTTGGTGTGTATGCTTGTGATGTGGCTGGAATGTAATGCCAAAGCCCTTCCTGTATTTGGTATATTGACTCACATTTTGTTCTTTTAAACACCCAAGTCAGGTGAGATGATTCCACAGGTATGAAAGGCTAAATATGGACCTGACTATGTTGAAACCATACAGATTTTGTTGTCGGAATTGAGACAGGCATTACCAAGAAAAACTTAATGTTTGAATTTTGTTGAAAGATTTTCATTATTGAAATCATTCTTGCCGTACGCATGTCAAGGAAATTTTATCTGCCATAATTGGCATTTGTGAAGCTTGTAGCTGAAAGCATCCACATATAAAGTCTATACCGGGAATTTCCCACATGTATGAAACGTGTGACTGTTGCTGTCCTCTTGTAATATCAAGAATTATACAACCCAGCTTACTCCCCAATTTATGTTTCCGAAAGGTAGGTATAGAAGACGATTTCTGTCTTTTTGTGGAACAAATATCTATTGTGTCCACATTGTTTCAGGGGTGGTGGGGTAGCCTAGAGGTTAAAGCATTTGCTCATCACACCCAAGACCCGGGTTCGATTCCCCACATGGGTACAATGTGTGAAGCCTATTTCTGCTGTCCCCCACCATGATATTGCTGTAAAAGGGCTAAAAGCAGCATAAAACCATACTCACTCACTCACTCAAATTGTTTTCAGTTGGAGGACACACAACGGTCATTAGAAAAGAAGAACAATGTTCTCCTGGAAGAGTTGTCCCATTATGTCACTCAAAATAGAAACAGGTGAGAATCAGAACATTGTTCTCCTGGAAGAGCTCTGTCAGTGTATCAGGTGAGTCAGAAGAATATTGTGCTTTTGTGGGAGGTGTCTCTCTATAGCAGGTGAGAAACCAGACCCAATATGTCTGACTTGCACTTCCTGTGTACCATCATGTCTGGGATTTAGGTTGCTTTTACACTTAACAGTTTTGTACATGAATATCAAACATCTCTTTAACCAGCTTATCTAAGTGATCAATATTATCTGTTGTTATGGTTATAAGGTCTATCTTTCTTTGTCAATATTATTAGACATTAACCCTTTTGATCTCCACACCCTGATATGTTATACATACCTTAAGGTGATATCCTGGTTTTATTTCATGAAGAAAGCTTCCCAGGCCTTGAAAGCCAAATTGACATCACAAAGTACTTGTTAATGAAGAAAAATCTGATTTGATGAAACTAACACTGATATCTGCCTTATCAGAAAGGGTTAAGATCTGTCTCTCAGCATCTGTTTATTACACTCTGGGCTAGCAACTTAATGAAAGAATCAAATTCAATCAAATCTGGCTCACTTCCATTTGATCTGACCAGAGACAGACAGAAATGGTTACAAACTGTATGATCACAGGTTCTTAAGCGTTATGCGGTACTGCTACTTAAAACCAAGTTGGCTACCAAAATCAAACTCAGCTCCTACAAAATTCGGCCTTTTCTTTGTCCACTTATTTAAAACCCCAGATGAAAATTTGAGCAGCCTGATCGAAAAGACACATTGATTTTGGTGTGGGGAGATTGGAGCCTGTTTGTGGCTTAATGCACACTGCATGCAAACTATCTTTTTCTATTGACGTGACTTTATGCTGTCATCTTCAAGGGCTGTTTGGTGCTTTCAGACACACTGTTTGAAAATCTGGTTTGTGGACTGAGAAAGGTGGTCCCAACGTTGCCTGGCAAGGTCAGAGGTCACTGGCTGTCCTCAATGACTTAAGCTGAATCAATTCAGTTCTTGGTGCCCTTCACAGATGTTATGAACGCTTTCTTGAATTGCCAAACTATTCTTTTAGCATCTTGAGAAGCCGTAATTAACTGTCTGGGATATAGCACACTCACACTTCCATCATCTGTGGGATGTTGGCATCTTATGTTGATAAAAAGTGGTTTCTTTATGTGTTGAATTAATTGTTATTTTGTGTCTCATGCATCTGTTTAGTGATGTACAAAAAATTGATACCTGATAAAACAATCTTCCATGCAATTGAATAATTCCTATTTTCTTAAAAGAATTTATTGATCTCAACTTTATTTAGATGGTCATTTTCACTTGCACATGTAGCATTTCTTTTCTCACCCTGTAAATTACAGGGAGGTGGGGTAACCTAGTTGTTAAAGCTTTCGGGCCATCCGGTTCGATTCTCCACATTGGTACAGTGTGTGAAGCCCATTTTTGGTGTCCCCAGCTGTGATATTGCTGGAATATTGCTAAAACGGTGTAAAACCATACTCACTCATTCCTCACCCTGTAAATTACAATTCTGGAACAATTCCTCTGAATACCAATGCATTTCTGGAAAAATCTGAATTCCTTTAAAATTCTTTTTCAAGTCCAATAGTCCAATATTCCAATGTACATCTGTTACAATTAAACCATTTCTCTTCCTTTCCTCACCGAATTCCATAAAACTAATTGAGAGATACATCTTGACATGTTCATTTTAGCTACTTGCCGTGATCCACCATAACTACCCACCTTGATCTTCAGCAACCCATGCTTGTTGTAAGAGGCTTACTTAACGGATCGGGTGGCCAGGCTTGCTTACTTGGTTGACACATGTCATTGTATCCCAATTATGAGTGATTGATGCTCATGCTGTTGATCACTGGGTTGTCTGGTCCAGACTCAACTTTTATAGACCACCACCATATAGTTGGAATATTGCTGAGTGTGGCGTGAAAACTAAACTCTCTCTACTCATCCTTTCAACTGAATTCCATAAAACTGTAATTATCCCCATAACGCTGCTTTTATGGGGGTATTAAAATGCACTCCGTCCGGCCCCGTCTCATCCTGTCCGCATCCATGCACATTTGTCTTTTCTGGAGCAGAACTTTTAAACCGCTCAATATTTCTTCACCAAAAATTGGCACATAGATAGGTCTGGTAATGAACTGGTGCCTTTGGATTTCTGATTATTATATTTTTATGCTTCCATGGCAACAAGTTTGACTTTGACTGAAATTGGTGTTGGTGCTCTTTTCTGAAGCAGAACTTAAAACCGCTCAATATTTCTTTACCAAACTTCTCACATAGATAGTTCTGGTGGTGAACTGGTGCCTTTTGGTAGTTTTGGATTTGTACATAAAATATTTTTTGCATTTCCATGGCAACAAGTTTGACTTTGACTGAAATTGGTGTTGGTGCTCTTTCTGAGGAGAACTTTAAAACCGTTCAATATTTCTTTACCAAACTTCTCACATAGATAGTTCTGGTGGTGAACTGGTGCCTTTTGGTAGTTTTGGATTTCTGAATAAAATATTGTTTGTGTTTCCATGCCAACAAGTTTGGCTTCAACTAAGTTTGGTGGTAGTGCTCCTTTCTGGTTTTCCTTCAAAACCTTTCAATACTCTCTTCCACTTTACCATATACACACCAAAATATTTGACATAACCATAACTAGTAGACATATTCATGAAGAGTGATTTGCCATTGCGGGGGATATTGATGACTTTGTCTTCTTGTTGATATACATCTTGGACATGTTCATTTTAGCTACTTGCTCATTTGCCTGCCATCATATTCCATGTGGAAACTCATTACATAATATATTTGATGAGCAAAGATCATTCATCTGACCAGTCATTTAACCATTCATACCTCCCACCTTGTTGAGACATGGTTCCTGTTTCTGCAGAACCGTCAGTCTGTCCAAGCTGAGCAAGGAAGGCTGTACGAGTGATGACACAGTTGCACGTGAGAAGTGGACGTTGATCAGCAACATCTGCGACATGGTTCTAGAAGACTTGCAGGTGAGCTGTGTTCCCAGGGGCTAACCCAGCACATAATGTCTGTGATCTAACCCACTCATTTTTTATGGCTGAGTGGGTTAAATCACTGTGAGATCTAACCCACCCAGCCACCTCGGGTTCCACTAAAAATGGAAGCTGGACAACTGGTAGTCTAGATCACATACTTTGTGTAGCCTTCTGAAATTTACACTTGTGGAAGCTGTAGTGGCTGAGAGGGTTGGATTGCTGACTTGGTGTGCTGGCGATTAGGTACCTGACTTGAGTGTGTGTTCGAATCCTGAAAAGGGTGCAACCCAACAAAATAACTAGAATCTGTACTTTACAGTGTAAACCTAGATGTAACACATGTGAGTGAGTGAGTGAGTTTAGTTTTACGCGGCACTCAGCAATATTCCAGCTATATGGCGGCGGTCTGTAAATAATTGAGTCTGGACCAGACAATCCCGTGATCAACAGCATGAGCATCGATCTGCACAATTGGGAACCGATGACATGTGTCAACCAAGTCAGCGAGCCTGACCACCCGATCCCGTTAGTCGCCTTTTACGACGAGCATAGTCGCCTTTTGTGGCAAGCATGGGTTGCTGAAGATGTAACACATGTCAGTACCCTTGGTTGATCATATGTTGTCATACCCTGGTGGTGTGGATTGTTGATCATGTTAATCATTGGATTGTCTGATCCAGCTAGATTACCTACAGGCAGCCGTTGTCTATTGCTGAGTGTACAAACCTAAGGCCAGGGTCTGTCAAAGGTTCCTTTCTCTGAAACCAAACGGGGCGGTGGGGTAGCCTAGTGGTTAAAGCGCTCGCTCGTCACGCCGAAGACCCGGTGTCGATTCCCCACATGGGTACAATGTGTGAAGCCCATTTCTGGGGTCCCCTGCCGTGATATAGCTGGAATATTTTTAAAAGCGGCGTAAAACTGAACTCACTCACTGAAACCAAACGGTTGGTATTTATCATGCGATAAACCAAACAGATATAACTGTTATCTAGATTCTTGCTAGTGAGATCCCCTGGCAGGAACCACTGTCTGTAAGGCAATGTGCAGCTGCTCAAACAATTATTGCATGATGTTTCCAGGAAGTTGAGACTAGATTACCCAATTTCTGAAGCCATCATGGCAGGAAAGAGTTCCAATTATGCCAAGTGAAAGAAATATTGTCAAATGATAGATTTCAAATGTTTTTCCACTTGTGTGTTAGTCTCAGGATAACATATATTTCTTATTGTTTGGAAACTTTGAGCTTTAAGAAGTCGAGAGCATTCCTTTACAGGAGCCTGTATGTTTCCACCACTTCCAGGGTGTTGTTCAGGATATGGGTCAGGTTGTGACAAACATGAATTGTGGCACACAGCGGGGGGGGGACCTCGAGGCTACCCATGCAGACATGGTTGTTGTTGACCACAGCATGACGTCCCCTGCTGTTTTCTCCTCATGTTCACAGCACTTGGGCAAGCATAGCCAGGACAATGACCAGTTGCTACAGTCACTCCAGAAGAGGGTGCACGATTCTGGGGAGCTCATCAAAAGACTCACACAGCCTCAGCCCATCACAGTCACCATAGCTTTCGCCAACTACGTGCGTGACAGCCTGGTCAGCATGTGCAAGGACAAATTCCGGAAGGCTCGGTCAGGCATGAACACCATCCTCAGTGATCTGATGGACGAGGAGAGTGATGAGGAAGAACCTCTTGAGGAGTCTTGAGGAGTATTGACAGTTTCCTCCTGTGAACCCCATGTTTACCTACCAATTGCCCTGAACGCTGCCAATACGCCATCATATGGTAGCTGTACGTTAGAATTAAAGCGTTGTCTCGTCACGCCGAAGACCCGGGTTCGAATCCCAACATGGGTACAATGTGTAAAGCCCATTTCTGGTGTCCCCCGCCGTGATGTTGCTGGAATATTGCTAAAAGTAGCGTAAAACCAAACTCAGTCAGTCAGTCAGAGTAAGTTAGAAACAGGTTCAGTAAGTTCTGTGGTCATCCGGAACACGTCAAATACGTTCACATACGTCAATATTCGTTGGAAATTAGTCGATTAAAGTTGCATATATGTTCAAAGCACGTTACTCATAGGTTAGAAATAAGTTTTGGGTATGCTAGACTTTATTTTGATGTATTTCGACTTATGAGTAACTTACAAGTAGGGTGTGTCAACTATCACATAACTTGCCTTCAACTTACCACCCGCATATGCAGGACATATGAGCCATACGTTGGTATACGTCAACCATTTTGTGCATGCAAAAATTTTCCAATGACCTGCCGTACTACGATGTATACCAGCATTCTTTAGTGTGCGTTTAACTTATACAAAACTTACCCATAACTTATTCAGTGTACGCCAACGTATTCGCCAAATTTTTCATACGTCGGCATAAGCTGGCTAAATTGTCATGGTGTGACAGGACCTTTACAATTTTGGAAATTTGAAGTTATTTCCAAGTATCCCCTACTGGTATGTCTGTAATATTGCATGATTACAAATTACAAATTGTACATCCTATATTTCATACTTTTTTCCTGGTGTAACTATAGTGAAACACTACTTTCTTGTATATTTTGTAAGGTATATGTATATAGAGTGAACTGTAATATTACGACATATGTTATATTAGATTACACTTTCTTAGTAATGCACAGATTTCTGTACTTTTTGTTGGGTTGAGTCCCATTCGGGATTTGAACCCACACCCTCAGAGTCAGGCACCTAATGACGAGCACATAAAGTCGGCTGCCTAACCCGCTCTGCCCCTTTTTACGCGGCTGACTTTGTGTGCTGGCGATTAGGTTCCTGACTCTAAAGGTGTGGGCTCGAATCCCGGATGGGACTCGACCCAACAAAAGTACTAGAATCTGTACTTTACTAAGAAAGTGTAATAGCAAAATATAACATATGTCGTAATATTGCAGTTCACTCTTTATAAATATTCCCTTACAAAATAAACAAGAAATAAGTGTTTCCCTGCAGTTACACCAGGACAAAAGTATGAAATATTGTAGGATATACAATTTGCTTGATTTTAGAGGAAAATGGTCAAATAACAGCCTAATGTGAAAGAAATAGATGCTTGATTGGCATTTTAGAAGATGATATTTGATGAACATAGAGATTTTTTCTGGGTTACATCTTCTTTTTATTCTCGAGTACAACGTTTCAGGGCTTGTTCTGGCCCCATCATCAGGTAAAACTGAACAGTAACTGTTAACTCTGGCCGTGACGTCACAATGCTTATGACGTCACAATGCTATGACGACACAATACAGGTTTTACAACATGAAAGAAATAGTTATGAAATATGTGTTTGACGGGTATCATTAAATTTTTCAGCGGTAATAAGGATTATGCTTTCTAGTTTTAGTTTTTAAGGTGTGCCCATTATGCGAATGAGAGAAGGGTTCTCATTTGGTTGGTTGATTTTTCAACTGTATTGTCAGAATAAATTGATGTATTGCATGGTAACTGAATCATTTTGAATCAGTGACTGTGTGGAAGGAAAGCAAGTACATCATCATGTGTAATATGTAGTCCCAGTTGATTTGTAAAAGGAAATCTGCCTGAAAAGTAGTAGAAATCACCAACAACAAACGGAATAGTGCTGTGAATTATTAATGGCATACAAATGCTTCCATTCCATAAATATAATTATCTGTCAAAGCTGTTCCAGCAGGATTGAATCTGTGAATCATTTAGTCACTTCTGTCATCTGGGAATTCAGCTTTTAACAAGAAGTTACAAACTGAAAGTGTGAAAGAATATCAAATTCTACTCATCATCAGTCATTGGTGTTTAGGCATCAGTTATGACCTATGATGGTGTTGGGTTGGAGGCTCCAGACGAGCCAGCACTATTAATTGAAGTGGTGATGGTGCATTGTCCTGTGCATAGAGCTGTTTGGCAGCTTGACTCCTGCGAGTTTCTAGTCCTGCCCCTGCCCATCAATGAAGATCATGTGATACATGTGGTCTCAACTTAGGCAAGTGAGTTTGTTCAAAATTGCCTCTGTTCACCCTACAGAAAATGGGTACCCGGTGGGATAAGTCATGTGACTATTACCAGGTAACCTTCAAGCACCTCACAGACAGCTTGGGTTATCCGGGGTAGTAATAATAGCACTTTCAGCAAGATATTCTTCCTGGAATGGGGCTATAAAAGTGGACTATTATTAAATTATAAGTGTTTTTACATCGGTCCAGGATATTCACTGACCCATTTGTAAATCTTATGTATGGGAGTGTTTTAATGATTTAGAAATATTAATGTCAGTGCAAGGAAAGCCAGTCTCCAAAACAGATTTTACCTGATTTAAATATTTTTTGTTTAACGCCACACTCAGCACTATTCCAGCTATATGACAGCAGTCTGTAAATAATCTGGACCAGACCATCCAGTTTCAACAGCATGAGCTTCGATCTATGCAGTTGGGATACGATGACGTGTCAACCATCCCTACGACAAGCATGGGTTGCTGAAGATCAATTCTAACTCGGATCCTAATGGGTCACACCCAAAAGTACTAGAATCTCTGAAAAAGTGTAATCCCAAATAGAACATCTGTTACCTTACTCAGGCTTACAGGGGTCTGTTGCTGTTAAAAAAATTTTTTTTCCTTATCCTGACTCATGCTTAATTGCTTGTCTTCTTCTTTTTGCAAACATAGTGGAACACTTGTATCTCCTATTGAAGCTCCCTTCAATGTAAAATCACTTATCACTACTCACCAAGAGTTGTCCCTCCTTCCGTTTTGGCGGGAACTGGCGCCACTGTTCCCCAACATGCTTCACTCTCTCCTTCGCCCAGTGAGCAGGTTGTGAGAGCGCCTGTGTCTCCTTACGGCACTATATCCTTTGATTATTTAGTTAGTTACCTCTATAAGTTCTTTATAGAGGTTTAGCTAGTATCCTTCATCAATATTTTTGATATTAATCGTAATTACCACTGTTTATTCACGGTGTATTCCGTGGTTGTTCAGTAGTTTACGTTCATGAAAA